ATAATCAATGGAAGATAGATGTGCTTAGTCAAGAGATGGAAGAAGCCAAAAAAAGGTTGAAATTTTGAGGCTTAATAATATGGAATTAAAAGATGCTTTGAAGAACACCATCAAGTAGAAGAAGATCTGGAAGTTTATGTTCTATGTTGTTTTATTTGTTTTAGTAATCAAATTGTTGTAAAATAATTCATTATGTTGTGAGAGGTTGAAATATTTTGTTTTCTGTTTTAGTGTTTAAGTTGTTGTAAAACTTGCATTTTATGACATGAACCTTGTTCAAACTTGCATTTTATTTGTTTAAGTTTTAGTGTTTAAGTTGTTTTAGTGTTTAGTTGTGTACTTTTGTGACATGAACCTTGTTCAAAGTTGCCAAGTTAGATGTGTTATGTTGTTAGAATAACATAAACCTTGTTCTAATTTACTTGCATTTTAAGTTGTACTTTTGTCAACAGAATTTTGACAACATAACATAAACCTTGTTAAATAATAGAATTTTGTGACATGATTTAGTTTGTCAACATAAACCTTGTTCAAATTTGATAACATAACATTTTGCAGCAGAATTTTATGACATGGCATTATTACATACATTTGTTCAAAATAACATAAACATAGTTCAAATGAAGCATAACATAAACCTTGTTCAAAATACCATAATATGGCATTGTTACAGACATTTATTCAAAATAACATAAACCTTATTCAAATATGAGAATATAACATAAACCTTGTTCAAAATACCATAACATGGCATTATTACAGAAACTACATAAATACTAAAACAACATAACATAAACATTTTAAAACAACATAACATCAACCATGTTCTTAAAATAGGAACTACATAAATCTAAATGAGTTTCTTTGTGTTGTTTCTTTTGGTAGGAGTGGTCCTCCTAGTTGTAGGTCCCACTATATTTTGTGATGCACGTAGCTTGGTGGTTAGTCCCTGTGAATCAGAAGCCATTGTAACAAATGTTTGTCTTGGTTTCCTAAAAGGCAACTTCTGTGGCCTTGCTTATGCTGGTGTTGCCCTAGGCTGACCTACTTGAGTTGGGTGGCCCTTGGCTGAGTTCCTTGACTTGTGGTTGATGTTGCCCTTATCTTTTTAATTGAGTTGGTGTTGGTGTTACCCTTGATTGAGTTCCTTGAGTTGTGGTTGGTGTTGCCTTTGTCTGACTTCCTTGAGTTGGTGTTGGTGTTACCCTTGATATAGTTCCCTGAGTTGTGGTTGGTGTTTCCCTTGTCTGACTTCCTTGAGTTGGTGTTGGTGTTGTCCTTGATTGAGTTCCTTGAGTTGTGGTTGGTGTTTCCCTAGATTGACTTCCTTGAGTTGGTGTTGCCCTTGGCTGATGTGCTTTTGTTGGTGGTTGAGTCCTCTTACAAGTGGACTTATTGTGTCCAGTCTGTCTGCACCTTGTACACCTAAGTATCATATCAATTTTTCTCATTTTTCTATCTGATTCATCAATTTCACCCTGCTCACAGTTCCTCCTCTTCTTTGGCCTTCCTGAAATTTTTTTGAATTTTGGTGGCTAGACATTTGGGTGCTCTGTTCTGACCCATAAATTTGTTCCATTAACCGGATAAATAATAGGTTCATAAACAGAAATATACCTTACCTTCTTATAACACTCTAGGATGTAATAATCAACACTTAGATTTCTACTCTTCATTGCAGGCAGAGCATGAACACAAGGTAGACCAGTCAATTGCCATTTTCCGCACGAACAATCGTGTTCCTTCAAGTTGACAGCAAAAATATCACCTTGATTCTCAACGTGTCTTACTTCAAATATAAACTCAGACGACTTCCTACAAAATAGTATAAAAAAATAACATAAAGTATAAAAACTAAAGAAATAATTTGTATCAAAGTAGTTTTTGTACCTTACTATCCAATAATTTGTGAAACTACTTGTTTTTTCAACTTTCCTCCTGATGTTTGGCAAAACATCCTCATCATTTAATTGTGATAATTTCACCCTATATGTTGCCCACCTTTCCATGATGTATCCCCTAATTTATTTTAGCATGGTCACTAATAGCTTTGCTCTTGACTCTACAATGACATTATTGAATGCCTCTGACATGTTATTCAATACAGAATCACACTTCGAAGTTGTCCTAAAATATGATTTATTCCAATATCTTTGTGGAGTCTGTATCATGTGCTTGTAAGCCTCTTCATGTATGTGTCTCGTACCTCTCATCTCCCTTTCCCATGCTTGTGGGTAAGTAGCCCTAGCAGCCTTCCAAATTATCTCCTTCAACATTTTTCCTGGATACTTCTTCCTGAAATTTTTGTATAAGTATCTTACACAAAATCTTTGTTCAACATTGGGTAGTAATTCATCAATTGCAGGAAGAAGAACCTGCAAAATTAAACCAAATGATGGTGACTACATAGTTTCACTAGACACATCATACTCTAACTGAAAATGTAAAAAAAAAATAGAGTGGTACCTTTTACTGATCAGAAATGAATGTATATGTTCTACATTCTTCCCTATCACCTAGATCTTCAATGAGGAGTTCCAAGAACCAGGACCGGTTGTCTTTAGTTTCCCCTTCCACTACAGCAAAAACTATAGGTAACATCTTGTCATTGGGATCTGTACCAATAGCTGCCAAAATCTGACCTCCACAAAGCTCCTTTAAGAAGCATCCATTAAGACCAATAATAGGCCTACACAACTTGAAACTCTTTTTGCAAGCAGCATAACAAATATATAACATCATGAAATAAGGCCTTCTATCTTCAACACTTTCTTGGACTGGTGTGACATTTAACTTGACAGTTGAACCAAGATTTGTCCTTAGAATTTCATGACAGTAATCATATATCCTTGTGTAATCCCCTAAAAATGAGCCATCAACCATATTCCTAGCTGCAAATCTGGCCCTAATTTCCTTTGTCTTATTAACCCCCACATTCCATTTCTTTTGAGCCTTTTCCTTTATATACTTTAGCTTCAGCTTAGGATTATTTTTCAATGAATTTTGTAACCTCTTGCTAATCCATTTTGTACTCATCATATTTAAATTATATTCCCTAGAGCAATTGTAGTTATCAACTATTTTTCTTGGTTTCCAAGTCTCCTCATTAGACAACTTTCCACAATATGCCTCCCACTGGCAGCCTTCTTTACCACCTTCACTCTCTTTTTGTCATTTTGCTTAAACTTAAGACCTCTATCAGATTGGACAACATACATTTGAATTGCTTCCTTAAAGTCACTTTTTGAGTTAAAATAAGTTCCAAACTCTCATTTATAAGGAGTCATATCTTTCAATAACTTAAAAGTGGGATACTTCTTCTTCCTAGGTTCATCACTCTCTTCACTATCACATCCATTATCTAACTCCTCACTATCACATCCACTATCTAACTCTTCACTATCATATAAACTCCCATTCTCTTCTCCATTGTCTCCTTCTCATTTATTTTTCTTCTTTTTACTTGTATCTTCATGGTTTCCATCATATTCAACAAGATTGTCTAAGTGTTCTTCACAAAAATCTGCAATATACCAGAATCACTAAATGTGACTTCCAAAGCACTATCATAATTGTAACTCTCATCCTCATTGTCATCCGAGCTTATAATCTCATTCAATAAACTAGCATTAGTATCTATAACATTATAAACCTCACCATCATTGTTCACAACCTCACCTACATTCATACCCTCAACACCATCATTGTTCACACCCTCACCTACATTCATACCCTCAACACCATTATTCTTCACACCCTTACCTACATTCATATCCTCAACACCATTATTGTTCACACCCCCACCTACATTCATACCATCAACACCATTATTATTCACACTTTCACCTACATTCATACCTTCAACACCATTATTGTTCACACCCTCACATTCAGTACCTACATTCGTATCCTTTATGACTTCTTCATAAAGATCTTCAAGGATGGATTCTACCTCCGGATTAACCATATTTAATGGTTCTTCATCTATGACTTCTTCCTACATCGTGTTTATAAGATTTTCAACATATTCTGGTTGAGATAACGGATGTTCTATGTAAATGTCAACTTTCAAATGTACCATACAGAGGCCAACTACATCTAACGCACCCTTATCATCCTTAAGAACATTCATTCCAAATGTGGGGTCATTGTAATATATAGTATAATGTCTACCTCAGTGTAACCTAGATCTTTCACAACACCAACCAATTCAAAGTATGACCACCTATCCACATCTATCTCTAAATCATTACATTTACCCCCACATAATTAGTTTTTTCAGAGTCCACAAACTCACCATTATGATGAATTTTCAAACACAAAACTTCTTTCATTTCTACCTAAGACAATAAAACGCAACATTACAAACAAGAAAACGCAACATTACAAACAGATTTCAAAAGGGCCAAAAGACCCTAAATATCTAATCAGTTCAAGAACACGCAATATTTACACACATTGAGAGTAGACAAGGACATGTAAACTAACTGTCGCCTATGTTGGGTCTTCGTCTTCCTCAGCTTACTTCTTCTCTCTTCGTCCTCCTCAGTTTCATTCTTCCCTCTTCGTGCTCTCTTAGGGCTTTCTATTTCAATACATAACTTAGTTAATGAAAATCATAATATTTTGCTACTTCATATGACACCTCAGCCACGTCAATACCCATCATGCCACATAACCAAACAATTCATTAAACATCAACAATAACTTAACACGTCAACAACGTTTTGGAAATTAATCTAACGTTTCTAATAATAAGGACTAACGTGGTACCATTTTAATAACTTAAGGGATTAACCTAAAAATTTTAAAAGGAAGATGACCATAATAGATCTCGAGTCATAGATAGATGACCAAAAAAGATATTAAACCAAATAAGTTTAAAAAGTTGATCCGAAGTCACCATGTCTTGTTTTTTTTAATCATTTGATAAGGTTGTGATCTTAATTTGCAAATGAAGTGACATAGAAATCAAAGAATCAATTGCTTCCATTTCCAGCATGAGCGAGAATAATCCCAAAACCCCTCTTCCACCTTCTTCAACCGGAGATCATGCCTCAACCAAATATTCACGAAACAAAACCCATATCAACCCACCAGAAACGGCAATTCCAGATACCGCAACCCTGAGAGATCAATGGAAGTTCGCCATCAGACAGTACAGCAAATGGTACTCTCACGCTTGGGGAACCGCCATTCTTGCCGGAACTGCTTTCTTCGCCCTTGGTTGGTTCATCAAGGGTGAAAATCCCATTCCCTCTTTCAACTCCAACAACAACAAACCTTCTTCATCTCATCAAGACAAGGACAAACCTCCCCAACCCCAGTGATTTCAACCTTTCTACTGTTCTTGTCCTACTATTTCATTCCCTTCTTTTGGGTAAGTTTCTTTCATTTTAAATTGGGGATTTTTCTATTTTCATTTTAAATTGTCATTGTAGTTATCTGCAATTGTATAGACGGAGCTTGAATTGAATTGTTGGGAGTCTAGAAAATGTAATAAAGTTTGCTTTTTTGATATATTTGGGTCATTCAATTTTATGGATAGATTGATAGATAGGTAGATCAATGAGTGTTCCGTGGTGGAATTAGGGTAGTTCTTTGAACGGTAGCGCTTCGCTATGTAGGCTTGAGCTTCCAGTGGAGAGAGAGTTAAGTTAACCTGCAAGGTTAGCATTCGGTTGCCCAGTTAGTAAGAGAATGAGAAATGATGCAAGGGTGAAAATGAATTTGAATCATACATTTCCTTGACGTGGGATTTCTTATATATGGGAATTGGATAGGGTGCCGCGGCCCTAGATCAGATGTGGACCTTCTTTTATTGGGCCTTTTGCCAACTCAGAATAATGAATAATAAAACAGTTGTTTGTTGTACTAAAGAATATGAACAAACAAGATGAAGATAAAAAAAGGTGTAGAAAGCATCACTGTTCTCCGATTTATCTTTTGATAGATTTTGTATTTGGAATTCCTCAAGTTGCTTGTGAATAATGTATGCTTATGTGATTTCTGTTGATGATAGATTTTGTATTTGGAATTCCTCAAGTTGCTTGTGAATAATGTATGCTTATGTGATTTCTGTAGATGATAGATTTTGTATTTGGAATTCCTCAAGTTGCTTGTGAATAATGTATTCTTATGTGATTTTTGTTGATGCTGCAATGCTGCAATTCAGTTATATAAGGTGGTTTTTGTTTACAAACAAAAACTTTGTATGTAAAATAGGGTAACTTCCCACCATGGTGGAGTCTTGGAATGGTTGATTCAGCTGTGAATCTATTGTTAGGCTAACATTTTGATATTACTATAAATTTAGTATTAAGAAAGATCTTCAGATTAATGATTAGAATAAAACATGGTCCGAGATAGAACATTATGACGGAAGTTGATTCATGTAGCCGAGACTTCACATAATGAGATAAGGCTTTATTGTTGTTGTCGTCGTTTGTAAATCTGGTGATATTACTGCAAAGACTGACCTATGGTTTATGAATTGATGCATTAGTCACTATTAACATTGTTGTATAAAAATATATCCTTGATGAATTGCATGCTTAGCTTATGCTTGGTTGGATTGCAAATTATATGAGCTGGTAAAAAAGATCATGTTTTGGGACATACCTACACTTCCATTCTTTCGGTTCTATTCCAACCTAGCATAGCCTCAATGCCTAGTTTACTGAACTATAGAATTCTGTTGAATGGAATTGGAACAAATCATGGTAATAAAATGATTGTTAAATTCAGAGGCAAGAAGTGTGAACTATAATGAATGAGCTTAGATTGATAAAACGATGATAATCTGATGAGGGAGAAATCACCATTAGAATTGGTTTGCATTCATATTATTATGATAATATTCATGTTTTTTCATTAACTCATCACTTATCTATTCATATAATTACACTGCAGGCCCCATTCACTGGAATGAAGTCACATCAGAGCTGTCTTTTGTTCATATTGCCCTGAAGCCTCGCCTTGATTGCAATGCTCTATGGAAGTTTAAAAACTTCTTGTTTTGAGAAAACAAACTATGTTTTCATTTTCTGCTTTACAAGATGTAACTTTACATTCACTCTGTTTTTATTGTACAGAAAATTGTAATGCTTACAGTAAGAGTTGTTTTTGCTGTTCTTTTGTATAAACAATTTGAAAACTGAAAATAAGTCCTATATTTGGTCATAATCGAGTTTCTGCGACACAACTGTTATCTTGTTTTTCTGATATTAGTTTGTCACTATTTAATGTATTTGCAACTTGCTTTTCTTTAGCCATAGATATTAGGTTTATTATTAAGATGGTTTGTAATACAATAAATTGGAATTTGGCTATTAACTGTTTTATGGGCAAAATATTAGTAGTTATTTGTTAGAGAGATCGAGAAATTATATTTAAGTAATTTTTCATTGTGTTAAGAATAAATGAGAGAACTTTATTTTATAAAACACTATAATCGATATGCTTGTCGTGAATGTGTCTTATGTTATAATCGAAATCGATATGCTTGTCGTGAATGTGTCTTATGTTATAATCGATATGCTTGTCGTGAATGTGTCTTGTTGTGAATGTGTCTTATGTTAAAGTTTATGTTTTGTATTGAAATCAAAATTGATGTTGAGCTTTTGAAACTGTGTTGACCTTTGATATAGTGATGTGGGATCAATTTGCAAAATTATTATTTTGTATAACTATTATCACATCATTTTCATCTTATCCATGATTATGTTTTGTAGCAATACCTCCAACACATCATCTGGCAAAGAGACAAAATCATAATCATGTACTAAATTAATGTTATTTTTCTGTTCTTAATATAAGATAAACAATAATGTTTAAAATTTGGCAAATTCCTTGCCCACCCTCGCACCTCTAAAATATTTTGGCCTACCACAAGAAAGAAAGTTTTTAACTTCTCAAAAAAATTCAATAAACCTGAACTTAGATAAATTTAAACCGAGTCACTGTAAATATTCAGTAAACCTGAACTTTAGATAAATGAATAGCTTCAACAGAAAGATGAACCAAGAAAAATGAAAGTGCCTGTTTCCTGAACATCTAACTAATATTGAACAGATTTTGCTACAGACCAATGCCAAAAGTTAGGAGTGATGCTCTCTAGAGTCTAGACAATCGTTTTCACGCGGCAAGACCAATCGATCTCTATAAGAATATAAACATGGCATAGGTTTACATTTTACTGTAAGCTCAAGAAGAGCAACATCCAGATTTCTTCACAGCCGATACATCATCCCGCGATCCAACATCAATTGTCTGTCCTTTCGGCAACGCTGCTGGATCATCGCCAATCTCAAGTGCTTTCTTGCTCACAACACGATATATCTGTGTCAGCACTTCAGTGAAGGCACTCTCAACATTCAAGGACTCGAGCGCAGACGTTTCCATGAAAAACGTGTTCTCTCTTTCAGCGAAAGCCGTTGCATCTTCAGTTGAAACCGCTCGCAAATGACGCAAGTCAGCTTTGTTCCCAACAAGCATCACGACAATGTTGGCGTCTGTGTGGTCTCTCAGCTCCTTCAACCATCTCTCCACATTCTCAAATGTAACATGGCGTGTAACATCATAGACTAGTAAAGCACCAACAGCTCCTCTATAGTATGCACTCGTAATTGCTCGATACCTTCATAGGAATTCCATAATCAACAAGATATAATTGCACAAACGTTAGGATCTAGAATGATGTCGAATATCAAAATGTCTACACAGACATGGTTTTTCGATATTGCATCTATAGCAATCAAATCATAGAAATTCATGCATTTATCAAAAGAAGAAAAAACCTAATGAGAAAATGTATAACAAGAGAAAAGGAATGTAAACCTTTCTTGGCCAGCAGTATCCCAAATCTGAGCCTTGATAACCTTATCATCAACCTTAATGCTTCTGGTTGCAAATTCAACACCAATGGTGGATTTAGATTCAAGGCTGAATTCATTTTTGGTGAATCTCGACAAAAGGTTGGATTTTCCAACACCAGAATCACCAATCAGAACAACCTTGAACAGATAATCGTAATCATCATCAGCTCTATACGCCCCCATTTGCCACACACCGTTTTTTTCTCAATGGTGTTTGGCTAGAGAGAGAATGAATCGAAGATTAACAACAACAAAAAAAATCGTTTTTTTGAGATTCAAATGGCTATGATTTGAATCTATTAATAATAATCGGAGAAACGTAGAACTTTGTTTTGAAATCCAGATTTGGAATATCGTTAAAGGAAAAAAGAAAAACAGAGCGTGAAGGTAATAATTGAATGAAACAGCAATGTGTGTGTTGTGTTATGCGGAAGGTTTTTTGTTGGCAACTTTTGTTTTTGTTTTGGGGAATTGTCGTGAGGGTAACCTAATTGCCAAACAAATTATTACCAGTAACTCGCCAATTATTCATTTTAATCCTTTATACATTAATCATTATAAATTATGATTAAATTGCCTAAATTTGTAAAATTATGATATTATCATTATTTAATATTTTTAAATGATTTTATTAACCTAATGATTGACCGATTGTGATTTGTTTTTAAATAACATATTTATTTAATTAAATATTAAAATAACACGTTTTTCAAATTAGTTACTAAATTGACATAATTTTAGGTGAAAAAAGAGTGCATGCGCCATTTTATTTGAAGTCAATACAATAAGTAATAGTGCATGCGTCATTTGATTTGAAACATACATAAGGTGTAGCCAAATCAAATGGTCCCGCCATTTAGGTTGTCCTAAAAATGAAGTGCATGCGCCATATGGGATGAGACATCTTTTAATTTATTTTTATTTTTTGTTTTTGGTTAATCAGGAAATTAAATGAAAAAAAATTAAAATAATTCAAAGAAAAAATAAATAACAATAATTAAATATAAAAAGTTTACAACTGATGATAAAAAAAATCAATGACCGCCCCGATCAAAACGTCCACCGATTCCACATCCATGTGCATTTGCGTGGCGTCGAGGTCTACCACAATTTTGTTGAGGTGTTTGTGGTCTTTACGTGTTACCCTGTGGAAAAGGTATTTGTTGAGAGGGTCTCGATGTATTTGACAAGTTTTGAACCATCTGTCCATAATAGCCAGGGGGTTGTTGCCAACGACGCTTCCGTAATTTAGTTTCATGCCCATGTTTTCAAAGTTGGGACGGGGGGTTGGGTTGGGTGTGGACGGTATGGTTGGCCGAATTGGTACATTGAATCGTTTTGGAAATGTGGAATGGTTGTTGTGGCGTTGGGTGGTCAAATAGTGGTTAGGTATTTTGGTAGTAGGACGATTGTGTGTTCACTTGTGGGGGCTATGGTGGGCTGGGGTGGAGTCGAAAGAGTTATCATGGCTATATGCATATGTGGTGTCGGTGTCGGGAGGTTAACGGTAAGGATAAGGCTCTTGTTGTTGTGATTGGATGAGTGGCATGAATGAGTTGGGGTTTTGGAAGATTGATTGGGTGGGTAGATATGATTGTTGGGTATAACACGGTGTTTGATGTTGGGCATGCGTTTGTTGTTGTGTTTGAGGAAGAAGCACGTTGGCGCGAATCAATCAAATATGTTTGCTCAGACACAAATTATTGTGTTGTTGTAACCAACCTAAACAAAATCATATATTGATGACTTGGTCTAGCCCCTTCTACAACAGGATCGTCTAAGATGCATTGATGTCGATTCTTCCAATGCCGAAACATCTCTTTTGCAAAGTCTTTCCAATCATTTAGACCTCATTGTGCATCCACCTTCATTTGATCTCAGTCTCCCAAAAAATGTCGGAGCGACTGGAATATCTTGATGCATGCCGAACTGCAGTTTCATCCGACCACTTTGGTGCATCTCGACTGTAGTGAACCGAATGATCGATGTTTTAGCTGTCCACGCTGCAACATCATTGATGTTGGGCTGATGGTCGAGACCCTTATACGACCTCTAGACAAACTACATGAACACAAGATTTAATGAGAAAAATTACAGTGTGGTAATTTAATAGACAAATTTATGGTAATGTAAGAATAATTTACATCGTCCGACCCAATGTGTTCTAAAAGGTTGCGGTACACGATTATTAAGTTTCTGGGACATCGTTGGTAAGTCATTCCCAGAACTGACCACCTTAAAATAGTGACAAAAATAAATTAGTTACAAAAAACCGTTCCATCAAAGTATACATGTTTGATATTTAAAAATAAACTTACTTGTTTGCGTAGGGGAATGTATATGGATGCGGGTTGACCAAAGCTAGTGTCAGCATTCTAAACCAACTCCATGTTTGAAGTAGAAAGACACAACCATAAAAAGTACAAGTATTTTTTTTTAGAACTTTTACACAATGAACTATATAGATGGGCCAAAACAGCTGAACCTCAACTATAAGTGCATACTTTATTAATATTGTGTAACAATGATAAATACATAATATTTGCAGTATTTCCAGTATTTTCTGAAAATAAAAAATGTCCAAATAAGATCATAATATAGCACAAAGTTTTAATTAGCTTGTCATACTCGGTGGATTCCTCATTTAATATGATAGTGTTATAATGTTCTCTTAGGTATTTTAAATTAATACCTTCGCCCTTTGGTTGAACTGCACGTCGTTGTAGCGAGGAAATTTGTGAGTGTAAGCTATTGATTAACTTAACTTAAAAATACAAGAGTCGTCACTGCACTTTTATTTTATCCAAAAGGAAAGAAAAAAGAGCGAACAAAACCTAAACAAGTTCTAAAACAAGAACAAACAAACAAAGAACGAGTAAGGGAGTTGGTTACGCGATGAGAATGTGTTAGCACCCAAAACATCTATAGTACTCTATATGAGCCCTTTGAAATATCTACACTTTATTGGTTTGAAAAGGTTTGCTTGAAAGAATATTGAGGAGGTGAGAAGAGAAATATTTTTAAGATTTTTGTGTTTGGAGAAATTTATCGCCTCATGCCTACATATCCACAAAGTGCAATATAGGATCAAAACCTCGTAGTTCACAGTACAAATAACAAAAATTTGTTGGTTATGATTTATTTTTAAATGTAAAGACAAGTAGTCATTTTAAGGAGAAAACTACGACTAGACGCCCACGAGTATAAGGCAATATTTGCATCACCTAAAGATGTAGAGGAGACAATGAAATCCATTTAGATAATATCCATCCAATAATTTATCCATTCAATCCATCCATAAGACAAAAAATAATTTGATGGATTTGATTCAATCCATCCACTAACTCATATGGATGGATTCAATCCATCCATCTCATTTTATAAATCCATTGGATATTATGTTATCTCTTATTAAATTAGTTAAGAATTTTATAAATCTCATAATTTAAGTTTTTTACGAAATTTAAAAAATAATTCAAAATATTTAAATTATGTTTCTATGAAATTTAAAAAATAATTAAGAATTTTTAAATTAATTTTTTGGATGGATGGATATCCATCCATTAGAAATATGTTAATGGATGGATTTGATGAATTTTATATTTTAATGGATGAATTGGATTGGATTTTTATTAAGAGAGTTTAGTGGATTGTTAATGGATTAATGGATTGCTTTGATTCATCCATTAACAATCCAATCCATATCCATCCATTTTGCCACCCCTACAAAGATGGAGGATCTTGCTTGGATTAAAACCAGCAAGTCTATCACTCAACATCTAAGTGGAAAATGTCAACATCTTAGATACTATGGGGAATAGGAGAATTATATCTCAACTATGGAAATGAATCATATCTAAACTTTATGAAAAGTTTTAAAAGAAAAGTACATAAAGGCACACACAATTTGAATGAGGTGAAGTGTTTTTTATATCTTTTTGAAATTAGTCAAAGTATGATTAACATTGATTGATATTGATTAAAGAAAATAGAGTTTTAAAATCACTTGACCAAAGTCAAAGTTTTATTATGAAAGCAGTTTTAAGTTTGAAAACAAGAAGGTTTTTGAAAAAGGGAAAAGATTTTGAAAATTTAAGAAGGGGAGGAGATGAAATTACTACCCTATAAAGAAATATAAAAACTAGAGATTAGAAGGATCTAACCAAATTGTAGCACACTTCATAGCAAGCCAAATAAGAAATCCTTCCACCTTGAGCATAAGCAAATAAGCAAGTCAAAGAAAGGCAAATATCCATAATACTCCAAACATATGGAAAAAGACCTAATTTTAAGTCCAAGGGTCCAAGAATAGTCCAAGAGGTCCAAGAATAGTCTAAGAGGTCCAAAGTCTAAGTCCATCCATGAGCATAACCACAAAATTAAGAGCACCAAATTTTTTAGAGATTTAATCCTTTATTAGTGTTTTGAACAAGATATGGTCCAAATGGACAAAAGAAAAAGAGAGCGGAAGCACAAGCAATAATATGACATGAGATGATAATAATGAAATATAAAAATAAAAGAGAGATAGGGAGCGAGAAGGAAACATAAAAAAAATTAGTACAATAATATTGTCAGTGAGTTAGTGATTAGTTGTTAGAAAAAATTATCAATGATAGTTAACTCATGTACTTAGGGAAAAGTTAATGAAGACTCATTAGAGGATTGATAAAATCAAAGCCTCCTAACAACAAGTTTCATAAGTGATGGACCTAAGACAAATAATCAACCATACTTGGACTTTCAAACATAAGTTTGAGCCATGAATGATCATTTTTTGAATACGTGATAATTTAGCGCTATGTTAAGTAATCGTAATTGAGTTTATGTAGAAACCAAGACTATCTGAGGTGAGTCAATAACAATGTTAGTTATAATGAATTCTAGAGAAGAGATATGTAGATCACTCTCTGAAAGAAATACCGCATGAAAAGAAAAGTTGTAACGATCTCATCTTCATCAAAAACTTGAAATAAGTTCCAACGATATCGAAGATTTTCATCGATCAAAAGAAAAAAGAGAAGAAGAAAGGGAAAGCCAAATTGAATTACAATTTCAAGGTCATTCCATCTTTAAGTTCATCCACTCATCTTGGTGGATTAAAGCACTAAACATATCATTAACTCAAAGAACCTAAAATGAATTGAACAATTCACTTTAAAGATAGATTTAAATTTATGAAT